GAAGAGACTGGACTGGTTAAAACTATGATCACTGGGGTTTAGAAGAACAAGGTGGGTGGATCTCTTATAAACCCTTTAAAATTCTAATAGGACTAGACAGGGTAAAAACATTGACAACGAGGTGCAGAGCTGGATGAACACAGCAGGCTAAGCAGCATCATAGGAGCAGACAGCCTGACGTTTCGGGCCTAGATCCTTCATCAGAAATGGGGGAGGGAAAGGGGGTTCTGAAATAAATAGGGGGAGGCGGATAGAAAATGGATAGAGGAGAGGATAGGTGGAGAGGAAACAAACAGGTCGAAGAGGCGGGGATGGAGCCAGTAAAGGTGAGTGTAGGTGGGGTGTTAGGGAGGACGGACAGGTCAAGGGGGCGGGATGAGGTTAGTAGGTAGGAGATGGGGGTGCAGCTTGAGGTGGGAGGAGGGGATAGGTGGGAGGAAGAACAGGTTAGGGAGGCGGGGACGAGCTGGGCTGGTTTTGGGATGTGGTTGGGGGAGGGGAGATTTTGAAGCTTGTGAAATCCACATTGATACCATTGGGCTTCAGGGTTCCCAAGCGGAATACGAGTTGCTGTTCCTGCAACCTTCGGGTGGCATCGTTGTGGCACTGCAGGAGGCCCAGGATGGACATGTCGTCTGAGGAATGGGAGGGGGAGTTGAAATGGTTCGCGACTGGGAGGTGCAGTTGTTTATTGCGAACCGAGCGTAGGTGTTCTGCAAAGCGGTCCCCGAGCCTCCGCTTGGTTTCCCCGATGTATAGGGGGCCACAACGGGTACAGTGGATGCAGTATCCTGTGTTTATGGAAAACTGGGGAGTCTAGAACCAGGGTTACTGTTTAAGAATACAGTGTAGACCATATAGGACTGAGATGAGGAGAAATTTATTCACCCAACAGTGTGATGAGTCTGTGGAATTCTCTGTCACAGAAAGCATCTGAGATCAAAATATTGAATGGTTACAAGGAGTTAGGTATAGTTCTTAGGGCTGAAGGGGTCAGAGTATGGGGAGAAAGCAGGCACAGGGTACTGAATGGGACAATCAACATGATCATATTGAATGATAGGGCAGGTTCAAAGGGCCAAATGGCCTACTCCTGCTCCTATTTTCTATGGTTTAATTTGTTTACAGAGAGAAAGATCATTACACTTGGGAAAGTACCAATAGAGAGAAAGAGACTGGCACCACTGCTGACTCCAGTCAGCCTTTTGAGGTTAATCAAAACAAGACATGCAAACATGTTTTGATAGGATATCAAGCACATGTACCACGTTCCAATCCCTGGGAGGTTCACAATATATAATGAGATATGCCCACGGATAGGTCAGCTGACCAACTCTAATCACCTCACCAAAACCACTGGCCTAAATAATGTTAGTTGAGCAACTGAAATCTAATTGTTAGCAATGCAACCAATTTATTGTACAGTGTCAGCCTATCCACAGGTTTTGTTACCATATAATAAGAACTTTAGTAGGGAACCAGATAGCTTGCTCCAATAGTAATTCCTCTTTTCAGTCAGTCATTTGTAGGCACTAACCAGAGTTAAAAATTATCACAACAGCCCTGAGATCGGGGGGCAAAATAAGGGACCAACTGACTTTAGCTATTTTCCTTACGATCATCCTACAATAGGGCTGGTCAGAGTATCCAGAAGCCTTAGCTAATATTGCTGTCAACCACGCCCTTTGTCCACAATTTATCAAAGGTGTTACATACAGTATTTTTACTGAACCTTTGTACTCCCTATTCATTTAAACCAAAATTCCATTATTAAAAAGAAAACTTCTCCCACTGAATTGGCAAGTCATTCATTGCAGAAATCTAGTAATATGGCCAAGCACTCAACAGACCGCAAAGGAACACAGGAAGGTACTAATTGACCAGAACAGTACTTTGATACTTTGTACCTGAGTGGACAATCAGCCCTTAATCACATAGCAATAGCTCTAAATACCCAAACAGCAAGTGACTGAAAGCACATGAACACTTTTCTCAATCTCCAAAGCATCAATTTAAAACTGTACAGGTGTCTCAAAATTACAATATGGAGCTGAAAGAACATAGCGTTTCTGAAGAAGGGTCCTGACCCGAAATGTCAAATTTCCTGCTCCTCTGATCCTGCCTGGCCTGCTGTGCTCCACATTGTGTTATCTCTAACTCCAGCATCTGCAGTTCTTGCTATCTCTGAGGTGTCTCAAAACCTCCCTGTTTCAGCATTCTAGCATGAACCCCTGTAATTAAAATTGCCCAAGTGTCACAATAGCTAAATATGGAGGAGTGAGGAACTAAACTAATAGGATTTCTCAACCAAAGGGAACAAAAGGTGACCACCTGAACGCAGCAGTGTTACAAACGAAAGGTGCATTCCCAATATCAGTAATTCGGTTTTTGCAGGTGCTAGCTGACCCACTACATCTCTCCTACCTTGCGTTACGGCCTTGTGAATTGGCTGCAGATACTGGAAACTGGACAAATAAAAAAAATGCTGGAAATACCCAGTAGATTAGGCAGCATCCATGAGGAGAAACATAGTAACCAAACAATGATATCAGGGCACAAAGTGACAAACACAGGATTGGTTGTGTCATTACAAGCTGGGAACAGTTAAATCCATGTTATGAAAAGCTGAGTCCATATTATGATGAAATTCTGATCCTTTAGGCTGCACTTAAAAGCAATTCACCAAGACTCCTTCAATCGTGTCATTCCAAACCCACAACCATTGCCATCTGAAAGGACAGGGGCAGCAGATAGATGGGAACACCTCCACTTGCAAGTTCCCCTCCAAGTCATACACCATCCTGACTTAGAAATATATCACCATTCCCTTCATGTCACTAGGTCAGAATCCTGGAATCTCCTCCCTCACAGCACTGTGGGTGGCCTTATACCACATGGACTGCACCTTTTCATGAAGGTAACTCAGAAACACCTTAATGGCAATTAGGAATGGGCAATAAACACTGGCCCAGCCCAGCACGGTCTACATCCCTTAGATCGAACAATGAAAATAACTCGAAGCACATTAACTATGGTAAAGACAGTTAATGCTGGAAATGCTGAACACTTCCTGCACAATTTGTGGAGAAAAATAGATTTTCAATTCAATAACCTTTCATCACAAACTTTATAGATGCTGCCAGATCTAAGAATTTCAAGCATTTTCTGATCTTATTTCAAATTTCCAGTACTTTTTTTTTGTATTGATGAACTACACAGCACAGAAAGTTCAGCATTCATTTCAACAGCAAAACAATAAGTAAGCTGATACTGGGATTAGGCGCATCAAAATCAGTTGCTTTCACAAGTACATCTGAAGGCAGACCAGTCCTTGAATATAACATGTTATTACAGTCCTGGCTGATACTCAGCAGGCTAAATTACTGGCCTGTCTCTAAAGGTTTGGAGGTGGGTTATCACTTACAGCTCTGTACAGGCCTTCCTGTTTTTTTTTGTTATTCTTTCTGGTGAATGTTGCTGTCACTGGAAAGGCCAACATTTGTCACCCATCCTAATTGCCCCTGAACTGATTGGCTTGTTAGATCATTTCAGAGCACAGTCAACAGTTAATCAAGTTGCTGTGGGTTTGGAATCACGTGAAGCCAGATCAAGTAAGTATGGCAGATTTCCTCCCCTAAAGGATGAGTGACAAGATAGGTTTTTCCAACAATCAATGGCAGTTCCAATGTCACCATCACCAAGATTCACCTTCAACTCCAGATTTATTCACCAAATTTAAATTCCACCATCTGCCATGGTGGATTAAACCAAGGTTCCCAGAACTGTACCAGCCACTCATCTAAAGTAGGACACTTAAATCAGTGTTACAACAGAATTAGATTACATCGTGCTAGTTCTGATATAAATTATTCATCCACAAACCTCCAGTAATCTGGAGTAAGGTAACTGTCTGCAATCAAAGAAATCTTCAATTTTGCAATAACTTGAATAAAGTGACTTTGCATTCAGAGTTGACGACAAGTTGAAAGTTTGCAATAATATTGTGGATATGGGAATTGCAGCCTTGTTCAATTAATAGGTTCATTTACAGATGCGAGTTTCACTGTGGAGGTGTTATAGAGTGTATTGGAGGCCAGCCATGTTCTATGGGTACTGCTTTCATAAATTAGAAATAATCACACTTTGAACTCAAAACGATGGACCTTGATTGAATGTATAGCTTGCTACTCTCCATATAAATCTGGTAGGATTAATACATTGCTCCTCAGCACGTGAAGCAGTGAATGGAGCAGACTGGAATATACATTCAAATAATAATCAGTTCCTATTTCCTGAACAATGTTATTATAAAGGGTACTGTTACGGGTCTCACTGCGAGTGCTAGTACAAAGTGCATGGGACATAGATCTGTCCCACTGGTTGTTGATACAGAATGTAGGAGATATGGAACTCACTAAGTGAGTTAACACTATATGGAATGCAGATCCCAGTCTTTGAGTGGTTACAGTGTATAGGATTAAGATCCCACTCTTGGGGTGCTGAACACAGCAATGGACAGGCATCTGACACCCCGGTGCATTTGGGGTACACATGCGTGCGCCTCCTGTATCTGACACTCTGGATATATGTATGTGGGGGACCTGTATCTGACAGTCCACGGGTGAGAGAGAGACAGGGACCTGAATTTGACACTCCAGGGGAGTGTGTAAGAGAGGGGAACCTGTATCTCACACTCCAGGGGTATTTGTGAGAGGAAGGGACCTGTATCTGATACTCCAGTGGGGGAGGGACCTGTATCTGACACTCCAGGGGTGTGTGTGGGGGGAGGGACCTGTATCTGACACTCCGGGGGGGTGGATCTGTATCTGACACTCCGGGGGGCGGGTAGAGGGGACCCTGTATCTGACACTCCAGAGGAGTGTGGGGGGGTGCGGGGTCTGTATGAGACACACTGGGTGTTAATTGGGATGTGATCTGACAGCTCTCCAGCCGATCCCTTCAGCAGTGTCCCCCACCCCCGGGTCCTGGGCCTCCCTCACCTCCTCACACTCCTCCTTGATGGCGAACCTGGTGGCGAGTAGGTCACAGAACTGGGCCATCCTGATGGTCTCCTCCCCGCGGGCCAGGCGCTCCTCCAGCCAGCGGATCAGGTGGCTGTGGTGCTGTTGGACCACATTCTCGGACACTTCATCCCGCACCTTGGCGGCCGCCTCCCGCAGACGGTGGTGCTGGAACAGCACGTCGGCGCTGGGCCCGCAGTTGAGGCTGTGGCCGGACACCGAGCTGGGACCTCCTCCCTCAGCGGGCTCCGGGCCTCCATCCGGGCCTGGCGCCGGGAAACCGGCCTTGGCCGAGCCCCGCTCACCGTCCTGCCGCTGCTCCTCATCCTCCTCCTCGTCCTCGGCGCAGTCAGGCTGCTCGGCGCCCGCGCTCTCCGTGTTGCCCATGCCCGGCCTTACCGCCGCCGCCGCCGCCCCTGGGCACTTTCCTGAAGCTGCGGCCCCGGTCCCTCACACACCGGCTCCCGGCTCCTCCACTACCGGGTCCGCTTCACGACACACTGCCGGATTCCGGGGTCCGCTTCACGACACACTGCCGGATTCCGGGGTCCGCTTCACGACATGCCGCCGGATTCCGGGTCCGCCTCGCGACACGCCGCCGGATTCCGGG